CCAGCAGGTAGGGGCTCTGCCTGAGCTGTCCCGGGACGTATCCTATGTGCTGGGGACAGATGATGGACGTGTCAGTCATATGGAAATTGCAAGAGAATCTGGCTTATATATTTGGAAGAACTGGAAGAAATTAAGACTAGCAAGACTAGAAATTAAAGAAAACAACAACCAAAATAAACCAGAGCTCTGGGAAGGATGTTAAGCCCCCTTCTCTAGGATGGGCTGATTCCTGCTTGGCAGAGAGCAGCAAGGCTACTCAAGGGCTGGTTCTCCTACAGTGCCTCCCATTTGCACCTGCACTATGCCCCAAAACAGCTGCTGCTGCCCCAGCATCTTAAATAAGATGCTTGACTTGGCCAGAAGCTGCGTCTGGTTTGTGCTGGTATTTCCTCTGGTTCTGCAGCACGGGATGGGAGGGCAAAGGGCACAGGATAAAATCTTGGATCGGTACCACTAAAAAGCAAACACCACATCAGGCCTCCACAGCGAGGCTAACTCGCCTTCGACCGGAACGTAAAAAGCAAACACCACATCAGGCCTCCGCTCGAGGCTAACTCACCTTCAACCGGGACAGGACCAGTTATCCCGTGTCTTTTAGCAGTTTCAAGCGAAGATGAAGTTGCCACCACATCACCGGGAGTAGCTTCTCTAACACACCAAACCAAGAAGAATGACATTGTATCCTAGGGTCTCAAATACTGTCAAAATCAGCCTCTCAAATCCAAACCAGCACCCTGTTTTTTCAAGCCTAGTTGCTACTTCCACTCTGCGAGAGCTTGAGCTCATCACACGTCTTTAGATCTGCTGCCAAACAGGTTTTCGTGGCCTATGGGGCTTGTGCACACACACGTATCCTGGGCAGGTGGTATCTTCCACAGACACTACGGATAGTGCTGTGATTAAAAGAGTGATAATTAAACTTCTTCTTATAATGGAAACCTCTTGCCTCCTGCTGCTAAGTGCTAATAAATGTTTGAAGGGCAGGGAAATTCCAAAGGGGTGAGAGAAAGTTAATTTTCTGCTAGTGATCAAACAAGGCCAGGGCATGACTTCCAAATTGTCAGCTGATCAGCTGTTATCTTCATCTCAGTGTAAGGTACATTAACAAACAACAAAAAAGGCTATTACTAAATATGGGAAATGAAGGTGTTCCAACTTGGAGATGTAGTAACTCCCCAAAGATAGACATTTCTGCAGACTGCCATGGGCAAAATAAGCCTGTCTCAAACATATAAAATCCTAAAGAAGACTGCACTGTGATTTATATACTCAGAAACACCCTGGTGGCGTTTGGAAAGTTTTGCAGAGAGCTTATTCGTAATGCAAAATGATTGGAAACCAGAAGGCTGCGCAAGGGAGGGTGCAGCAAGGGAATGGAGCATGTTCCTGCCTGCTCCGTGCGCCAGGCTCCCACCGAGCCAGGGTGTCTTTCCATGGGTTATTTGCAACCCTGGAAAACTCTGATGGCAAAGCTGCTTCCTCAGCAGCTGGGAGGCTGAGGGTGCATCCAGTTACTGCTGTCCTGGAAGTTAGTTCTGATTGCAGATCCTTGGGCTGCCACTTTTGGATAAATCCTGATTTATCCATCAGCGCCTGCTCCTATTTGTGCATTGCAGCTGATGCACCTTACTGAGCACCAAGAAAGCGCCCTGGCCAGGTACAGAAAGGGGCTAGAAGCGCCTATGAACAGATCTGACAGGAGCGAGAGGCACGGGACGTTCCTCGTCTCAGCAGCGCGGGGATGAACGGCCTCTCCAGCAGCATCGTGTTCTCAATAACTCAAACCCACTATTTCACAGTCCTTAAAGTTTCAGGAGAGGCTTCAGCAGGGATTAACCTCT